TTCCAGCGCAAAGGCCCGCCACTGCCTGCCGGATATTAGCCATGTTTGTTAAAATAATCGGGCCAACAACCTGGCGGCGGCGGGTCGGGCCACCGCGCTATGAGAAAAGTTTCAAATGCACGGAGGAGGTGTATTCTGGCTCAGGACTTGTACGATTTCTTTGATGACGACGCGGCTCGCCCGGCCGTGCCCTGCACCCCAGCAGAGGGAGGCCGAGGTGGCCGCGGTAGGATATCCCTCACGCAAACAAAACAGTCATATGTGTGTGCGCAGTCAGCCGTGATAATAGTTCGTTTGGCGAGATGGATGCCCTCGTTTGCCTGCATCTCTTTGCGGGCAGCGGAGCGATGCCCGGCACTCATGCTGCTGATTATTGAGACCGTTTTCTTTCGCACTTTTCCTTTTTAGGGAGCAACCCGGCGGGGCCGCTGGGAATGCACAACGTCCGCCGCAACGGGCGTGGGCGAAGCATGAGCATGTGACGCCGTAACGCACAACAAAAGCTCCGTAATTACAGAGAAAAGGGGAGGGGGGGGAGCGGGCGAGTTTAAAACGCATGAAAAACAGTAGCGCGGGTTTGTCCGGGAAAGAAAATGAAGAGAGAAATAGAGAAAGAGGGGGGCCGCGGGGCCAAGGATAAAAGCAGGCCGGTAATTAGCGCTATTCTCCTTTCACCACTTTGATCCGTTCGGCCCGGCGGATCCCCTTGCCAACAGCACGGCGGTGCGGCAAAAAGGGGCAACTCGGCAACTCGCATGTGCGCCAAAAGAAGCGTATCTGACCCCAGCAGCAGCTCTGGCCTACCGCGCAGCGCGCCACGTCATCGTCTCAGAGCACACGCTCCTAACGGTTGTTACACACTGCTACAGTGTGCCATGGTGGGCGGGGAGAGGGAGGGGAAGAGAGATGTGCGAATGTCGCGTGGGGGCGCGCTGCGCGACGGGGGCCGCGGCAACGGGCCGGGCGTCCCCCCAAGGCGACCAGCCACTGAGCCAACCGCTCCAAGTTTGTGTTAAAACATAATGTGATGAGGGCCGCTGGCGAGGAACGCTGCGGCGTGGGCCAGCAAATAATCCCGGGGCCCGTAACTTAATCCGGAGCAGGGTGGGGGAGGTGACGGAGGAGCCGAGGGGCGCGGCAGAGGTCGGCGCGGCGTCTTTGCGTCAGCGTCACCCGGAATGTCACATGTGACGGGGGTTGAGCACAAAGCGTATGGGCGGCCCGCCCG